AACCAGATCCCAATTAAAGTCCTGTTTATGGAGACCGGACAGATAACAGTAAGCCAAAGCACGAATAACAAAAAAACTGAAGTTATCTTGCTTATAATACTCAACGTCAGATAATTTATTCATCAGCCATCCATAGATTTTATTTGTGTAATGTATTTAATATTTAATAGTATTATACAAATATTTCGGTATATCAATAATATTTGATATATCAAATACGATACGCAAATTTTTTTTAATAAAACCTGTTCGGGCTGATCCGGGATACTCTGATTGGCCATGTTTTTATGTTATTCACGAAAATACTAGTGTTGTCTTATTTTGATCTAGCTCTAAATCGCGATTTTAAAAAATTTCATTGGTTAATTCACGTGTTTCTGTTTCACTGATATAAAAGAAGTTATAAAATCATAATTGTAATTTTTTCGTCTTTATCCAGATACACATAATCTACATACTCTCTTCAATATATACCGATCATGCATTGCCATATTTTACCATTGGTTATTGACTATCTCTCAAAAGACCAAAAATCTTTATACGCTTGTATTCAAGTTAACAGATTATGGTGTCGAGCAGCCGTTCCAGTACTTTGGTCTGATCCTTTCCGCTACACCACCGATGATAAAGAACATTATCCTGAAGTTATTTTTATTTACTTGGGTAGTCTTGAAAGGAACGCAAAACAAAAGTTTTTGTCTCAACTTCCTGCTGATAAAAAATCTCTTTTCAAAACTCCAACTTTTGATTATGTTAAATTTTTGAAACATTTTAATTACTGGATGCTTGTCAATTCAATTAAAGAAGCTGCAAGAAATTTGGAAAATCTTGAAGAAGTTCACATAATTTATACCTCTCCTGATTCAAGAACTCAACTATTTTATTTCAATGATAATCCTCCATTGGAAGGCATTCTTCATGCTCATGTGTTGAATCTTATTTATAATCGATCTAAACGTGTGAATTATTTAACTATCGCTGATCATTTCGGTTGTGGACACTTCCTTGAACCAAAAGATTATAAACAATTTAGTCATGTTAGGGACGGTAATTTCTTGGAACCTATCAAGACAATAAACTTCTGTGTTGATTTTGGTTCGTTATATAAAGTATTCTCGTGGATTCCTGGTTCTTGTCCTAATGTGGTATGTATAAAATTTTGGTTTATTATTTTCTTGTATTACATAATTATTATTATTTTCATATATTACATAATTATTATTATTATCATTATTATATCATTATTTCATAATCATTACCGCATGAATTATTTAAATTATTTAATTATTATTAATTATTAATTATTTAATTTATTATAATTTTTTATAGAGACATTTGAAGTTACGATTGAGAACTATCGACGATACTGATGCAAAAATTATTACAAAAGTTCTCTCTAAATTCAAAGATCTTCGTACATTTAAGCTTAAAGTACTCTATCGGCATGATCAACAAGAAGAGAAATTACCATCAATCGCTAATCATATTCATTCTTTAACCACAATCGTGATTCGTCATTGTAATTTCAAGAAGAATAATAATCTTATTCAAGAAATCGCTCAATGTAAAGGTTTGGTTGAATTGAAAATTTTATTGTGTAGTGGATTGACTGTTGATAAGGCTAAACTTTTAATCAATGCTGATTTTCCGATGCTCGAAATTGTCGAATTATGGGGTAATTATTGCAAAGAAGTTGTTAATTGGGCTAAAAATATTAGTCCTCAATTTTATGATGATTAGATTTGTAGTTTATTTGTTTCGTTTAATAGTTGAGTCAAAGATTTTTTTTTTATTGATTAATAGTCTTCAATTTTATGATGATCAGGTTATTTGTTTATTTGTTTCGTTTAATAGTTGGGTCAAGTTTTTTTTATTGATTAACAGTCTTCAATTTTATGATGGTTAAATTTGATGTTTATTAATGTTGGGCCAGAAATTTTTTTATTGATCAATTTAATGATTATTTGATTTGATATTTGTTTCGTTTAATAGTTGGGTCAAGGTTTTTTATTGATTAATTTTATGCTTGATTGCTTGATTTTTATTGATTAATTTTATGCTTGCTTTTTATTTCTTTAAACTATTTCGTAATCATGGTTTTTTAATTGAATAGTTATTGTCTTGTGATTGATATTCTTTAATTAATAAATTCTAAATTTTTTTGCTGCTGCTTTTAATTAATTGCATTTTATTAAAAATTCTATACTATATAATCGCATAATAATTACATCTTCATGTTATTTCGAGTACGTGAATGTGCATTATCTCGAAATTAAAGCTAATTTTAGACTATAAATCATTGCAATTAAAAGATATAATACCTCCTTGATATTAAAATAAATTACCATATGCACTTGTGACATAAATTTATTGCTTGAGATGCGCGCTATTTCGGGACGCGAATGGGCGTCATTTTGAAATCGTACGTGTTATTTTTAAATGTTATGATTTTCGAATTAATGCTCATTCCCGTTATTACGCAACATTAATAATTATACTTGCGCCATCAAGTTGGTAAAATTTGCTATCGTAATTACTATTTATTAAAGCAAATACATGAAATTACATTTAAAAATATGAATTTTTGCATTATAATGCTTTTTGCATCAATCGTTATGGTTTATTTATTGTCCTAAGCAATCAATTATACCCAATTTATTAACCTTCATTACAAGCAATAACATCCGAATCATACCATGTCTTTAAACAGAGACTTGATCTTCAGATAATCGATTATATATGAGTGCTGCCAAGGGAAAAGGGCATCTCCGTTTTTAAATCAATTATTGATTCAATAATTGATTAAAAAACGGAGATGCCCTTTTCCCTTGGCA